AAATGAAGCTTTACATATATAATCTTTGCCAGACTGAGAAAGCCTACTTCTTCTTCTGGTTTTTAAATCCCTTTTAAAGTACAAACACATTAAATTTTAAATCAAAATCTCAGCTTGTACCTCCCAAGATAATCACATCTTTTTCTTTTAATATAATGGGTCACATGCACAGATTATTTTTATTTAAAAATATCTTATTTTATTAGATTACTCCTATTTAATCACAGTATACTTTTAAATACATTGTTGGACTCACCTAACTGTTCATCCATTTTAAATTCCCATGTTAGTGATATACAAAATAAAATGGGTCATATGAGCCGATGACATTATACAGAATGTTTTCCTTAAAACTTCAAATTCCAATAAAGCTCCATAGGAGTGGGAGCCTATCCAGTCCAGAAACATTGGCAGATCAGGATTGAGCCGGCAACCTGGGCCAGAGCAGACCTGAGACAGGAAACTCCACAGGATGAGGTGCAGGAGAGCAACCCATGAGCAAGTGAGCCAGAGACAGAAAATCCAGACACGAATCAGGAATATTCAAGGAACTAGGCCTGAGCCAGGACCTCTGCGGATCTGGGCATGAATCTGGGAACTCCAAGGGAATAGGCAGGAACCATAGATCTCTACAGGTCAAGGCATGAGTCTGGGACCTCAAAGGGAGTAGGTCTGAGCCAGGTCCTCTGCAGGTCTGGGTGCACCCAAGCATGGGAACTCTGAGGGAGTAGATCAGAGCCAGAGTCCTTTATAAAACCAACCCCAATCCAGGGACCTCTGCAAGAATGGATCCAGACCAGGGACATTTACAGAAACATGTCTGAGTGACAACCTAGGCTAGATGAGGCCTGAGAAAGCAAACTCCAAGGGAGTAAAGCAAAGCATGGGAGCACTAAGCAACCTCCAGGAACACAGAGTGACCAAAGGGGTAACTAGAACCATGGCACTGACTGTACCATGAGGAACAACCATCTGAGTCTTGGATTCACTGGCACCTAGGAGATTAATCAACAGAATCACAGATGGTCACAACAACACCTATTAGAAGAAAACATGAGTAGAACAAGTAAGAACACACACAACACCACAAAGAGCAACACAATACCAGTAAAACCTAAAGACCCTACAGCAGCAAGACTTTAACAATCAAATATGGATGAAGCAGAAAAAAATGAACTAAAAAATAACTTCAGGAGAATGTTTGAAACTCTTAAATAGAAAATGAGAAATTTCCTCAAGGAAATGGAGGAAAAAAAAACAAATAAAAAATTGGAAGACATCAGCAAATTCCTTAAAGAAAATCAGGAAAAAGCAATCAAACATATGAAATAAATTATTCAAGACTTGAAAACTGAAATAGAGAAAATAAAGAAAACACAAGCGAAGGGAATTATAGGAACAGAAATCATGAGAAAATGATCAAGAAACACAAATGCAAGCACAAACAGCAGAATACAAGAGATGTAAGAGAGAATCTCAAGCACTGAAGATACAATAGAGGAAATAAAGAAAACACAACCCAGGATGGCTGGATATGGATAATCTGGGTAAATTAACAGGAACTACAGAGACAAGTATAACCAACAGAATACAAGAGATAAAAGAAAGAATCTCAGGCGCTGAAGATACTATAGAGGAAATAGACTCATTGATTTAAAAAAAAAAAAAAATTCTTAACACAAAACATCCAGGAAATCTGGGACACCATGAAAAGGCTAAACCTAAGAATAATAGGGGTAGAAGAAGAAGAATTACAGTTTAAAGGCCCAGAAAATATATTCAACAAAATAATAGAAGAAAACTTTCCCTTTCCCAACCTAAAGAAGGATATTCCTATGAAGGTACAAGAAGCTTACGGAACACCAAATAGACTGAATCAAAAAAAAATCCCTCACCTTATATTAATCCAACCACAAAACATACAAAATAAAGAAAGAATATTAAGAGCTGAGTGGCCCTGATCCTGTACTGAGATCCATCCAGAGGGGTAAGTGTGTGGCATCTCCCTGATTACTGGCTCTCTCTATTTACCTGATTTCATATGTGGGGACTTAGGATCCCCCAACTCAGCCTGCATCAGGGCTGAGGGTCTGGGTAGCCAGCAGCAGTAAGTGCTCCTGCAGCAGGGGCTTCTTTGTTCCACTTGAGCCTGTCCCCGCCAAGCCTGCTCTTTTGTCGGCAAGGTCCTTGGCCCAGTAAGTGGTCCTGATCCTGTACTGAGGAGATCCATCCAGAGGGGTAAGTGTGTGCCCACCCAGCCAGCCAGACGCCCTGGTAATGAAGAACAGGCCCCATTCAATTCCCTAAACATTTCTGACCATTCAGTGAGATGTATCCCCGGCTACTGGCTTTCTCTATTTACCCCACTCCATCTTGCCCCCGAGCACCCCTTTCCATCTGTGGGGTCCTTAGATCCACCACCACAGCCTGTTTCAGAGCAAAGGGGATCTGAGAGCTAGCTCCAGTGCTGAGGGAACCTATGAGGGGGCAGACAAAGAAATCCCCCCCCCCAAAGAACACAGTCAGCCACAACAAAGATTGGACCAAAGGCCAAGACTCTCCTGGCTGCATTTGAAGGAAGAGATGGGCAGGCACCAATGCAAGAATTCCTGCAACAACCTGAAAAGCAACATCCTGTTTAAGGGTCTCTATCATTTTCATAATGTTATGTTTAAAGTCAATTTCTTCTACTTCTTCTGTATCAGGGTGTTCAAGTCTTCCTTTTGCATGTTCACTGGATTCTGGTGTTATCTGTTTTTAAAAAAATTAATTTTTAAAATATACAATTTTGAACTTACAGAAAAAGTTCTAGAGGGTGGTAGAAACAGTTCTTTGGTTGATAATACTGGCTGCTCTTCCAGACAGCCTAAGTTCAATTCCCAGCATGAGTTTACAACTGCTTGTTAACTCCAGCTCCAGGGATAATCTGGAAGGCTGACACCTCTGGCCTTCAATAGCACCTGCACTGATGTGCATATACTCACATGCACACACACACACACACATATACACACACCTAAAAATAATTTTGAAGTAAATAAGTTTAAAAATACATATTTAACATCAATAATTTGATGTGATTAGATATATATGTTTCTTATGAAATTATCAGTACAACCTATATCATAAACATATCTGATTTCTCTTAGTTTCCTTGTACTGCCTTCACTTCCTGTTGCTACATATTTTGTAATAACATGATGTTGAGAGGCTAGAGAGATGGCTCAGCAGTTAAGAGCACTGACTACTCCTCCAGAGGTCCTCAGTTCAATTCCCAAGAACTGCATGGTGGCTCACAATAATCTCTAGTGGTATCTGATACCCTCTTCTGGCATAAAATTATGTATGCATATAGAGTACATGAATAAATAAATAAATCTTTAAAAAGAAAACAGGTATCAAATAACAAGATGTTGATATCTACTCTCTTAGGAGAATATTCTATGAAATGGGGTCTCACTTAGTTGTTCATGGTGGGTTTGAACTCATGTCCTAAAGAGACTCTTTGACTTCAGTGCCTTGAGTAAAATGGTACTAGGTATACAAGGTATCTACCACCAACTATGATTGCAGTTGTCTAATTACACTAAACCCTTTTGTCAACCATACAATATATTTCTAGAACTTATTTAGTTAATGCAAGGTGAATTTTTACACTGTTGTTAACCACTGAATGAGTCTGACACCATTGCAAGAAAGCTTCTGTATTAAAATACCTTCAAAGTGTTTTTCCTGCACAAAGATAAAATTGTAAAGATTGCCGAGCATGCCCAAAGTCTTTCCTGCCTCTCTTTCATAATATAGTCTGAGAATCCCCAGTGTTCATGTCTGCTATATGTATGATTCATGTCGAGTAAGTTTGCTTAGAGGTGTTTCTCTTTTTGACAGAGATCATCATTTTTTATTGTTTTTATTGAGCTATACATTTTTCTTCACTCCTCTCTTTTCCTCCCCTCTTCCCTTCTACCCTCTCCCATAACTCCATCACCCAATATACTCAGGAGATCTTGTCTTTTTCTCCTTTCTCCTTCCTATGTAAATCCACGCATGTCTCTCTAAGGGTCCTCTTTGTTGTCTAGATTCCCTGGGGTTATGGACTGTAGTTTTTTTATTTTTTGCTTTATGTTTAACAGCCACTTATGAGTGAGTACATATGATATTTGTCTTTCTTTGTCTGGGTTAACTCACTTAATATGGTTTTTTCTAGATCCATCCATTTGCCTGCAAATTTCAAGATGTCATTATATTTTACTGCTGTGTGGTACTCCATTGTGTAAATGTACCACATTTTCTTTATCCAATCTTCAGTTGAGGGGCATCTAGGTTGATTCCAGGTTGACAGAGACCATCTTAATGACACACACTGAGCATGTCTACATGTAGGCTCTCTTCTGTTATTATTGTGCTGCAAGGTGACTATGTCCCAAAGAGCTTATGATGACTGTTGCAGATTTTGAGTCCTATGTTCCATTCCATGATCTTCTTGGGCTGCCCAAAATATATGTACAATCTTCTTTTCTTGTATTCTGACCTTACGTCAAGAAGCTGCACAGTCCTAAAGCTGTTTTTGACATGAGAATGTACAGGCTCCCTGCATAAAATCCTATACCTCCTTTCTTCAAAAACCACTAGCTCTCCTCATTTGCTGTGTACAATAAGCCTATCTTCACTCTTTCATTTTCTGATGATTTGGTTTTGGATTTCCACCTATTTAATGTGACTCAGTTACAAATAGATGGGTCAGATCAAATGTTCTGCTGAAAATCACAGGGCTTTTTGCTCTTAACTCCCAACAGGAGAAGGCATGAAGAAAGGCATTCTGCACTTGGTTGACATTCTGCACTGATGGAAATGGGTCTTGAGGTGAAATACACTCCAGTTTTATCTATTAATAAGTTCATGTGTTGACATCTATTTAGGCAGTTGCCACTGCTTGGTGATTGTAGGTATGAATTTCACAAACATGAACATGCTTGCAATCTTGACATCAGTATGTTTGCATAAGAACCTAGATAGGAAGTACAAAATTTTTTAGACAGCTCCGTTTTGAATTTATTTATTTTACTAATTTTGTTAACATACAAGAGAACAGGTTTCAAAATAATAGTTTTTATGTTTTTATCAGTGTACTTTGTTCATACTCCTCCATTAGGTTATCTTCACTTCCCCTCTTTAGTGTGTGAGTTCCCTTTTTCTGTCTAAATATAACCGTTAAGGTCTCATTTCCTTCTCTGGCTATGGGAGACCCCAAAAAAGCAGAATTCCAAGGCTCACCAGAATCAAAGCAGCCACAGTGATCTGAATGAGATTCTCCACTCTGTGATCCTGGGAACTGTACAAAGAAATCACAACAAAGGAAGGTCATAGGAAACATGAATGCTCATACAGGGCACATGCCTCCCATGGACAAGACTGTACCTTCTGTATTTATCTATTGCCATATCTAAGGCTTCTCCTTGGTCAGGTGTTTCAGTGTCTGACTTGTTCTGTAATGGGCTGAACTGTTCCCAAAAAAAGAAAGAAGCAGAAGAGCATATTTATCCTGATGAGATGCAAAATGTTCCCCTGAGGACTTCTTATGTCTTATTTTCATGACTTAAGATAAACTATCTTTTATTTTCTGTGCATTGGTGCTTTGCCTGCGTGTGTGTCTGTGTGAGGATGTTGGATCCCCTGAAACTGAAGTTACAGACAGTTGGGAAACATCATGTGGGTGTTGGGAATAAAACTGGGTCCTCTGGGAGAGCAACCAGTGTTCTTTTTTATTTATTTATATTGCATATCTGCCACAGTTCCCCTCTCTCCTCTCCTCCTGTTCCCTCCTTTTACCTCCCTTCTACACCCCCATCCACTCCTCCTTCATCTCCAGCCAAAGATAATTAGAGAGACCCTATCTTACAATTTGAAAAAGCATTTTCCCTTTCTTTCTTCCTCTCCCCCCAGCTCGTGTGTGTGTGTGTGTGTTTTCTGTGACTCCACTTAGCCACATCCCATTTTAGTTTCCCTGATAGCAAGACTCATGAAAATGTATGGAGGAAACCTCAAAAATTATTGAGTCAATCACGGAGCTTCCTCACCTGACACCAGGAACTTCAAATGGTTACTGGATTCTAATCCACACATATGGATTGATCTTGTAATTGCCATAGCATTTTGACATCCATTTCTGGCCAAAGGTCACAGAACCCACAGAGAACAGGGCCTGAAACTGTCCAGTGGGTACATGCTGTGCATGTATAGTCCTGGATAGGCTGTGTTCTCCTTCCTCAGTCAAAATAAACCTATCATATCCCAGCGAGGAATCACATTGAATTGTCATCTTCCATCCTGAGGTTTCTTCAGAGCTGGGCAAGACTGAGGTGGTGGGTTTCTGTAGAATCCTACAAGAGAAGAAGGCAGCCAGGTGTGATGGCACAAGCCCTTAATCCCAGCACTCAGGAGGTAGAAGCAGGTGGAACTGTGACTTCAAAGTCAGTCTGGTCTACATAACAAATTCCAAGACATCCAAAGCTGTATAATAGAGAGAAATTGTCTCAAAAAGACAACAAGAATGAGAATAAATAGAAGAGGGAGAGGCAGAAGGAGGAGGAGAAGGAAGGAGGAGGAGGAAGGAGAAGGCAGCCAGAATGTGTAAACTGACAAACTGACTCACAAATTCTTCCACAAGGACTGGGCTGTGAGAAAAAAAATTCCTGAAAGAATACCCTTTCTAGAGGGCAGATCTGGGGACTGGGATCCATGAGTGTCCCCTTAGCTGTCACCACCAGCTCCAGGGGGTCACTGTGCTCTGAACAGCCAGCATGGCTCAGATAGTAACAATGATACCACCCTGCATGATGATCTGATAAAAATAAATAGTGAAATTTACCTTGTTTTTGTGCTCCAATGAAGTCTGTCTGCATAAGGATGATGGGCTTCCTTCTCTTTTCAGATGGTACTCAAGAGCCTCAAAAGTACCCTGACACCAGATGCTCATAGTTGTCCCCCAAGTGATCACAGAATCTGGTTCAGCCCAGATGGTGAACACACAGCATGTCCCGGAAAAGAAGCCAGAAGCTAGTTACTAGGATGCTCATTTCTCAGATCATTGTTTGCAAGCACAGAACTGTCCAGCCTTCCCCAATATCAGCCCACATCTACTGCTCCCCCATCCCCTCTTCCTGGTATGACACATTGTCCCGAGTACAGTGAAGGTATCTGGGACAACTGGGAATACACTCACCAGCCAATACTGCTTTCTTGTAGCCCAGACTCAGCCCTGAAAGAGATTGTCCTGTGAGAAGTTCATCCTGAAAGCTGAGGAGATCCCCTCCTACCAAGAGCCTCCTGTGCCCTAGGATTCCCCTCACATGCCAGATCCGGTCTTGGAGTGGGGTCTCTCCTTGACGTAGGTGACTCCTTCCCCTTTTCGCATCTCACTGAGGCTAAACAAAACCATGAGGGTGAGAGCCATGGTATCTTCTCTCACTAACTACTGTTGTGCAGATAGTCTGATGAACAGACACGCGGGGTGTGGCCTTTGTTGGCCTTGTCTTCTCAGAGACAAAGGCACTAACAGCCCCACAGGAAGAGGAACTGACCACCTCAGGAGGTTGGTCTTCATCTTCTTAGGGCTGGGGCACAGGCAGTGGTGGGAACAAGACTGTGGACACTTTAAATAGAAAGGAGTTCTTTTTCAGGTCCATGGACATATGACTTAATGGTGCACATTTCAATAAGTCAGGAAAAAAAACCCTCAGGTGAGGGAGGCTGAGGGCTGGTCATCCATCTGAGAGGAACACCATAGAGTCTCCCTCCCTCCTTCATCCTGCCATGTGTCTGCACAGCACTGTGTGGTCCTTGCCATGGCCAGAATCCTCCAAACCCTGAAGGTATTTTGAAGAAGATACACATCAGTGTTTCAAGGAAAACACTTCATTCTGGACATGAGCCTGGAGGGATGAAGAGGAATAAGAAAGGAAAAAATAGGTTATCTGGGCTCAGTGTGAGGGCTTCATCAACTGCTCCTTTCTCATTTATTTGCTTTTTCTTATCAAATCACACTTGGTTGTCCCCAGAGTTGTTGGGCTTGCAGTCAGGACCCCAAAACCCCTCGCAATCCAGGTTCGAGCACTTGTTCTCAGTAGAACAAATAGAAGGACAGAAGTGGTAGTGAAAAACAGAGAGGAAATTTGTTCAGTGTGACAACTCTGAAAAAATCTGCTTTGCAGAAGGATGCTTGCCTCCTTCCTGGAGTAAGGCTGTGGTTTTCCTCCTTCTGGCTTCTTCGTTTCTGTAAGACATTATGGCTCCTCTTAACCCTTCTCTATGGACCGGTTCATGTCGTTTCTTCTTCTTCATCCCCACCCTTTTGTTCCTTCCTCAATTTCTCCTCTCTCCTGACAACAAATCCTAGCCTGAAAATGTCTGCATGTCTAGATACTAATGCTCACTAGAAGAAATTCTCCAGTTTCCCCTTGAGACATGGGGAAAACATTTACCAATGGCCTCCATCCCATATTCTTCAAGGTGAAAACATTGTGACACCACCTCTCAGGTTGTTGTGAGGATCATCCAATATAGTGGCATTCTCATTTTTCAGAATAAGACATGGCATCAAGAGTACTTGTGGTAGAAATAACTCATTAGTGCTCCACATCTGCCCCCTACTGCACAGGAACATAAGATGCCATACTGCATCCTGGGTAGAAAGGCAGATGTACAACACAAGCTCCACACTTAGGAAAATTATTAACCAAAGTTTATTTTAGAAATTTTATCAAAGAGAGTGGAGACAAAGTTCAGGAGTAAAGAGCACTGCCTGCTCTTCCAGAGGACCTGAGTTTGATTCCCAGCAACCACATGGTGGCTCACAACCATCTGTTGTGTAGTGTCCCAGCACCAGGAGATCTGACACAATATTACAGCTTCTGTGGCGACATACACTTGTGTGCACACAATACACACACACACGGGGGGGGCATGCATTCACACATATACATAAATAAAAAGTTATTTTTTTAAAGTTTCACCAAGGAAGCAATGTTTAATTGCTGTGACCTCTGAAGCATGGTGCACCTCTACAGTGGTTTCAATGAGAACTACCATAGACCTTTGTATTTGAACACTTGGTCCCCATTTGGTGGCATTATTTGGGGGGGGGAGATTATGGAACTTTAGGACATGGGAGGTTTTCTGGAGAAAGTAGGTCGTTGAAGGTGGGCTTTGATAATTTATAGTTTTGACCCATGTCCAGTTCAATGTCTCTGCTTCTTGGTGGGCATCTTAGTCCCACAACCTGCTGTCATGCTGTCCTCTCAATTATGGATTATCTAACCCTCAGGAACCATAAGAAAAGCAAACCTTAGTCTATAATTTGCTTCTAGTCATAATATTTTATCAGAGCAACAGAAAAGTAATTAATGTGAACCTCCTTCTACTATAAAGATTATGTGTTGTTGATTCTTCATTTTCCTGCTGGACTATAGCTCATAAAGCATAAATTTAATTATTAGCACTTCAAAGTATGTAATTCAACAGCACTGAATAAATTCTCAGTGATACACAGCTACCACCATAATCTAATCTAGCTGTCACCAGCCCAAAAAGAACTCCATGTCCACAAAGCAGACACTGTGCTTGTCCACTGCACAGTTTGTGATTTCCACAACTGTAGAGCTGTTGGTTACAAGTGAATATTGTTTTAATTTGTTTTTCAAACTAGTGTAGAAAGCAATTCCACTTTTGTAAAGATTTATTTTTACTATTTTTAATTATGGGTATGTGGGAGGAGGTGTACACATGAGTAGAACACCCTTGGAAGCCAGAAGAGGACACTAGATCCCCTGAAACTGGAGTTGCAAGTGGTTTTGAGACTGAACCCAGTCCTCTACAAAAGCAGTATGTGTTTTTAAACTCTGAGCCATCCTCTCATACTCTGTTCTTATTTGTCCTCCTCCACATTCCCTTTCCCAATCCCTCTATTCCTATGCTGCTTTATTTCTTCTTCCCCCAAATTCCCATCCCGTGGATGTGCCTTATCCATGAAATACAGAGTTAATGACATGATTAATCATACTCTACCATTTACCATACTTCAGTCATTTCATATTATTGTATTATTATAGGATGTATCACAGCTCAATTTCTCCCCATAGATTGAATGCAATGTACTCTACATTGGCACAATGTTGTATGCTGTTAAGCTTGTTAAAAACTGGATTCTGGGAGTTTTGGAGGACTCTCCTGTCCCAGACTCTAGCATGTTTATTGCAAGTGTCCTCCAAGTTGAAGACGGGAGTTGCAAAATAATCCTACACTAGCTTAGAATTGAGTATATTGGTTATTTATTTAGGGGTAGACTCACAGGTCACAGTCTTCCGCACAAACAAGGAACAGGAACCAAATCCAGCAGCCAGAAGAGAGAGTGACCACATGCTTTACTTTAGCATTTATAGTATAAGAGGCCATGCTCAAGTAGGCTGGTATCTTTTTTTAAGATAATTTAATTCAGTCATTTATTTAGCAAACAAAATTAATCTCATATATATATATCAGATGTGTGTATGTATAATTTTAGTTTAGGAGTAGATTTATTCTGAACTACATAGGAAGTATTGGTATCACATTTTCTTATTTTTTTTTAAAATTAATTCCAGGGGGCTGGAGAGATGGCTCAGTGGTTAAGAGCATTGCCTGCTCCTCCAAAGGTCCTGAGTTCAATTCCCAGCAACCACATGGTGGCTCACAACCATCTATAATGAGATCTGGTGCTCTCTTCTAGCATACAAACATACATGGAAAGAATGTTGTATACATAATAAATAAATAAATCTTTAAAAAAA